CGGAGCGATTGTCTTCCCGCGTGAAGAGAAGAAACAATTGGAACGTGATCGTTTCGTTCCTGCTTGAATAGTTCATTTCCCGTTTGTTCAATGATTTTGAACGACATTGTAACAGTATGCAATCTTTCCGGCGCGAACCAGGTCTTAATCTGCTTCTGCCATCAATTTTAACAATTTTTGTTTGTATTTGTAAGTACTCCGAAAAAGAAAAGTAGACCACGGCATGCTGACCTTTGTGGCGCAATCCGAACTGAAAAACCTGATTTCCCTAGAGATTGTTGACAAGAAACTTCTAATTCATGAACCTATAACTGGCCTTCTAGCTTATAATAACATGGATTTTTAGTGCTATTATGCCTAGCAATATTGTATTCCTTCCGCACTGCGATTTTTTCAAACAAATTAAGCACATAACAAAGTCATTTTGCTATGGTTGTCGACGATAATTTTAAATTGCGTTTCCCAAGTTCACATCTCTCCCTCTTCCCTGCTTTTTAGAAACATGGCTTGTCTTGAACTTTTCAAGCAAGCGCGGCGTGTTCATGATTTGGGCACAGAATAGGGGGTTGGGTTCCCTGCGTTGAACTTGAAGTCGCCAAGTGTACGCGCGTGAAAGTGGGTGCGCTTTTATTTGATCTCGTGAATAATATGAATTAACTTCTCTCTTACAACCTGAATGAATACAATTCAGTTTTTTATCAACTTTGACCCAAGCGCGGGGCACATTAGACAACATGACGAGCCACAATGTGGCCCGCGGGCCACGCGTTGGACAAGCCTGCATTGCAGGAGAAAAAATTATTTATTTATTCAAATTCAAATACATAAATGAATTTCTTATATAATATATATATATCTATATTATATACTATTATAATTTATATATATATATATATATATAGACTAAAATAAACAGACTATTGTGACACAACTCTGAGTTTCATGTGTAAACAATCATCAGGTGTATAAAAGAACACAAGCTAACGGCAAGCAAGATATAACGGTGAAAACGAATAATCGAACACAATCAAATGAAGTTAATTGTGCAGAGTGATAAATCATAACAACTACATTCTAAGATCGAAAATTGCTAATCAAAAGTTTGTTTTGGTGTCTACATTGGCTTATAAATTCTGTTTTATTATTAAGTATTTTATTGTCCCCTAAAGATTGAATTATATAAAATTTTTCTGTCAGGCATAATTTACAAAAGTTGCTTCTAGCTGTGCTTTTTATTCTCTTGACAATTCTCCATTTAATGGTTGGTATCTTTCCTTGTTCCTTCAATTTCCAAATATATTTTGAAAGTTCGGTACTCTTTTTATATCTTTCGTGTTTAAAATCTTTGTTATGGTTAGCATATCGTAGTTTGAATGTACCTTCGGTGAGGCCAATATATTTTTTCTTTTCATCATCTTTATCGTTGCTAACTGTTGCTTCATATATGAGGTTGGGTGTTAAACATTCATTTCCTAATGGGCAGTCGTCTTTGTTTTTGCAGTTACATCCATATTCTTCCTTGCTTTTTGGGTTTAAAACAGATTTGTTGTGTGAGGATATTATGGAACCTATATTTTTCATGCAGCTGTAACTAACCTTGATTGTGTTTTTATTAAAAATTTTAGCCAGTTTTTCATCATCAGCGAAATGTTTCTTTACAAGCTTTAAGAAGATTTTGCCCACGTTGGTTTTGACATTCCTCGAGTAGGGTGGATTAAACCAAATAATTTTCCGTTTGCGCTTCTTTTTATCTTCATTTTTCCTTTTCTCGGTATCTTTGGGGATGTATTTCAAATTGTCGTTAAAACCACTTTTTCTAAGAGCTTCTTCATATACGGTCATTTCTCTTCTATAAATTTCTTCAGTTGATGATAATTCTGATATCCGTTTGTTGATGCCTTTAGGTAGTTCTTTTAATACTGTCGGCGGGTGATTAGAATGTTTGTTGATGTAGACAAACATGAACTATTCAACAAAGCTATAGACTATGCCAAAAACCTAACAGATATTACAAACAAAGAAATTGACATTTTATCGAAATCAAGGAAAACATTACTTTTCAACTCAGGAATCCCATGGGTAAAGAAGAAAGGCGACGAAGATTTTGATGTACCAATGGGTTGTTTTGACGGAGCAGAAATTTGTGAATTGGTTGGTACCTACATCTTAAACAAATTAAATTCAGTAATGGGTAACGGAAATGTTGGGCTATACAGAGATGATGGGTTAGGTATTGTAAGGAATTTATCAGGACCAAACATTGACCAAAAAAGAAAGAAAATCATCCAAATATTCAAGGAGTGTGGACTATCTATTACAATTAAGACAAATCTCAAAACAGTAGACTTTTTAGATATACGCCTGGACCTTCAAAACAATACTATTCAACCATATCGAAAACCAAATAACAATCCTGTCTACATCAACAAACATTCTAATCACCCGCCGACAGTATTAAAAGAACTACCTAAAGGCATCAACAAATGGATATCAGAATTATCATCAACTGAAGAAATTTATAGAAGAGAAATGACCGTATATGAAGAAGCTCTTAGAAAAAGTGGTTTTAACGACAATTTGAAATACATCCCCAAAGATACCGAGAAAAGGAAAAATGAAGATAAAAAGAAGCGCAAACGGAAAATTATTTGGTTTAATCCACCCTACTCGAGGAATGTCAAAACCAACGTGGGCAAAATCTTCTTAAAGCTTGTAAAGAAACATTTCGCTGATGATGAAAAACTGGCTAAAATTTTTAATAAAAACACAATCAAGGTTAGTTACAGCTGCATGAAAAATATAGGTTCCATAATATCCTCACACAACAAATCTGTTTTAAACCCAAAAAGCAAGGAAGAATATGGATGTAACTGCAAAAACAAAGACGACTGCCCATTAGGAAATGAATGTTTAACACCCAACCTCATATATGAAGCAACAGTTAGCAACGATAAAGATGATGAAAAGAAAAAATATATTGGCCTCACCGAAGGTACATTCAAACTACGATATGCTAACCATAACAAAGATTTTAAACACGAAAGATATAAAAAGAGTACCGAACTTTCAAAATATATTTGGAAATTGAAGGAACAAGGAAAGATACCAACCATTAAATGGAGAATTGTCAAGAGAATAAAAAGCACAGCTAGAAGCAACTTTTGTAAATTATGCCTGACAGAAAAATTTTATATAATTCAATCTTTAGGGGACAATAAAATACTTAATAATAGAACAGAATTTATAAGCCAATGTAGACACCAAAACAAACTTTTGATTAGCAATTTTCGATCTTAGAATGTAGTTGTTATGATTTATCACTCTGCACAATTAACTTCATTTGATTGTGTTCGATTATTCGTTTTCACCGTTATATCTTGCTTGCCGTTAGCTTGTGTTCTTTTATACACCTGATGATTGTTTACACATGAAACTCAGAGTTGTGTCACAATAGTCTGTTTATTTTAGTCTATCTAATCGCTCCGGTAAGTTGAGCACTCTAGACAACAATATGATAATTAATAAATATATATATATATATATATATATATTGATTAATGAATAAATAAGAAACGATACTGAGAAGATATACAGAGATATACAGAGAAACAAGTTTTTGAACGTCCTGACCCCGAAAAATTTTCGATTGTTAAATTAAGGAAGCTGAATATCAGTGAATATCTGCAGAAAATTCTTGAGTCAGCCACCAAAGTCCTGAAATCTTTTCCACAAAGTTTATTTTAATCCTCAAAGGGGCCCTAGACATACACGGCCAAATAGCAGCAAGATATGCAGTGCTATAGTGATGAAATTGCAGAAGATTTCATGAACAGTGAAGATTAGGTCATGGGAAATTACAGTGATCAACTTGAGGCAGAGGAAGATGAGTTGGACATCTTGGTTGAACTCATATTCTTTGGGACTTCAAGAAAAGAAGACACTTAAAACAAAAATGGATTCCATAGAACTTCCTATTCAACAAATTTTACTTCTGTCATGTTAATTTCTACTATTTAAACATTTTTTAGGCGCACTCTCGTTTACCTGTAAAGGATTATGATTTCATAAAATGATGATAACGTCATGCAAAAACGATTAGAAGTAGAAAAAAATAGTAATTCTACACATCCTTTAAAAGCACTGAATATTTGCTATGCAAATATGGAACTTGGTTGACAAAAATAGTAGCGATAAAACAATTTATGCAGTTTAAAGTCAATTTTCCTAAGTTGATGACGTCATCAAAAAATGTGAGTTCTGTTCAAAATATTTTCCGTTTAATCTCAGATGTAGTACATAGTCTGCTTGGTTGATAAATGCAATAAAAGTTGAGGTCAAGTCTTTGGCTGATTTTTAAATAATTTTTATCCTTTTTTCATGACATCATCAAAAACAAGTAACTTTTTGTAAAATTTGTATGGCCCATCTTGGATTTGAAATATCCGTGGTCGATTAAGTTGGTATGTGAAATGAAATATGAGGTTAGGCAGTTTGCTAGTTTTTCTACAAAATTCTCTGCCTAAATATCTAAAAGTTGATTTCTTTGATCAAGCCCCACTTGTTTAAAAAATTTAGACTTGATAAAATACAAATTTACAAATTTTGATTATAAATACAAATACAAATTAAAACACAAATTAAAAATACAAATTTTGCAAATTTGAATCAAAAGAGACATGGATGATGTTGAAGTGCCTAATATCTTTGTTTTTTTTCATTTAACAAGATTTTCAAACAATATTCCTTACGCTACTTTTAATCTAAGGCAGTTTTAAGATTTGATTCATTTATTTGAAATTAAGAAATAGCAATAATAGTGGATACTTTTCTAGAAAGTTGCGTTGTAATTTGGAGAGTCACTTCTGACTCGATAGAGCTGTGATTAAAGGAGAATATCCTGAATTAATATATTCCGATATGTAGGTCCCTATCATCAATTCAGCTTGTTTGTTCTTTGATTATTTTCAAGTGAAATAAGCCATTCTCTTTTAAACTTACAGGTTTGGTCGTCTGAAGGTCCTGTTTCCATCTTTGGCTGTGATAATCATTGTTGGATTTCTCAGCACATTTTCACCTAATTTTTGGGTCTTCCTCACTACCAGAATCATTGTTGGTTTCTTCACACCAGGCACAGGAGTACAAATGTTCGTCATGGCTTCAGAGTTCGTTGGTGCAAAATACAGACCGCTTAGTGGAATTATTTTGTGGGCGTTTTTTACTGTGGCGCTGATTATTCTCGGAGTACAGGCCTATTTCATTCGCGAATGGAAAAAGCTCTTCATTATATCCACTGTCCCATATATCTTTGTACTTGCTTTCGCCAAGTAAGTACAAGCAAAATAATTTTCCTGTCTTATACAAAGAAAATTTAGAATTGGAAGTAATTCCTTTAATTTGCATACAATTTTATTTTGTGTGACAATCTCTAGTTTGCAAATTTTATAAAGTGTACCTCCATTTTATGAAAATTCCTCTGCTGCCTAATTTTTCTCTTTAGCTTTTATCGAGTATTCTTTAAAGAAATTTTTCGAAAATCGAAAAGGTTTATGCCCAGTTGATTCCGTTTAGGTACAGCAGTACATGCGCTGGTTATAAAGAACGAGACGATGCTAAATTGCAGCTCAGTCATTTGCTTCTCGATACTGTCTTTGCTGCATGATACTCTGAAACCTTTATATACTCAACTAATGTTATCTTCATTTTTTAGTACTTTTGCTGTTGAATAAATTTCTTTCATTCATCTTTCACATTCATAATTTTTTCGATACAGACCTCGATTCTCTGAAGGCAGAGCGGTACAAACTTTGGTTTAGAGAAAAGAACGATTCTAAGTTACCGCCACTTGTCTATTAAGAATTGTTTGAATAAAAGATTGTGTTGGAATCCATTGTCCTAGAGGGTTATGATCACCACATCCTACAAGATTTCTAGGGTTGTCACTTCATGCAACTAGAGCTGGATACAAAATGAGCATTGAGATTTTCTTTTCTCTCAATCTGCTATGCCTCTTTTAATAATACTTAATTTTACCTTTAAGGTTCGTTCCAGAGTCAATAAGATGGTTAAACCTTAATGGACGCCAAGAGGAAGCAATGAAACTACTGCGAAGAATTGCAAAGTTCAATAAGAAAGAGCTGCCAGACAATGTAACACTTAAAGCTCCATTTACTGGCCCAAAAGTCAAAGCAAGTCCCATTGATCTCTTTGTTCCAACCAAAATGGCTTTGCAGAGTCTAGTACAAAGCTATGCCTGGTAGGACTGATTCAAAAATCTTGTTTTGATTTAGAAGGTAAATGCTATTGTAGAAGCCGTGTGAAAGGTGTCGGGGAGAGGAGGCAATGGGTCAGGGACCTGCCCTTTTCGGTATGGTATTTTGTTACTAATTGCCTCCTTTGATGAATTTGTAAAAGTTGACTTTCTTTTTTACTTATTAACTTTAGTCAATCAAATAAAACTTTGAAACTTCTCTTCTTCCTCACATCTATTCTGTCCTCTTCTGTTCTCTTCTCTTTTCTTTTTTTTCTGCTCTCTTCTCTTCTCTTCTTATCTCTTTTGTTCTATTCTGTTCTCTTCTCTGCTCTTTTCTGTTTTCTTCTGTTCTCTTCTATTCTCTTCTGTTCTCTTCTGTTCTCTTCTCTTCTCTTCTCTTCTGTTCTCTTCTGTTCTCTTCTGTTCTCTTCTGTTCTCTTCTGTTCTCTTCTCTTCTCTTCTCTTCTCTTCTCTTCTCTTCTCTTCTGCTCTCTTCTCTTCTGCTCTCTTCTCTTCTGCTCTCTTCTCTTCTGCTCTCTTCTCTTCTGCTCTCTTCTCTTCTGCTCTCTTCTCTTCTGCTCTCTTCTTTTCTGTCCTCTTCTGTTCTCTTCTGCTCTCTTCTCTTCTGTTCTCTTCTGTTCTCTTCTGTCCTCTTCTGTTCTCTTCTCTGTTCTCTTCTCTTCTCTTCTGCTCTCTTCTCTTCTGCTCTCTTCTCTTCTCTTCTCTTCTGCTCTCTTCTCTTCTGCTCTCTTCTCTTCTGCTCTCTTCTCTTCTGCTCTCTTCTCTTCTGCTCTCTTCTCTTCTGCTCTCTTCTCTTCTGCTCTCTTCTCTTCTGTCCTCTTCTGTTCTCTTCTCTGTTCTCTTCTCTTATCTTCTCTTCTCTCTGGTCTTTTCTGTTCACTTCTCTTATCTTCTCTTATCTTCTCTTCTCTCTGCTCTTTTCGGTTCTCTTCTCTTATCTTCTTTTCTGTTCTCTTCTCTTATCTTCTCTTCTCTTCTGCTTTCTTCTCTTCCCTTTTGTTCTATTCTGTTCTCCTCTGTTCTCTTATGTTCTCCTCTTTTATGTTCTCTTCTATTCTCTTGTTTTGTGTTTTCTTCTGTTCTCTTCGTTTTGCTTTTCTCCTGACTTAGTAAATCAAAAAAAAAATTTTTCTCTGGTATTTAAGAAAATTTACCCTTTGTATCGCTCAAGAACAATTTAGGAATAATCTCAGGCTCAAAGTAAACAAAGTGGAATTTTGATGCTCTACAAAAATTAGGTACTTTTATAAAAAAGCTTTTTGATTAGACGTTTTAGACATATAAGCTTATGGGGTATTTCCTGACCTTGCTTGCTACACACACAGGGTTAAATAATATGCAGAATATTCGGCCAAAATCTTTTGAGAAGTGTTGAACTAGATATATGTTTTATACGTGTCCAAAAAATTATTAATGGAGAGAAGATGATAAGATTGACTTACTGCTTTGTTCTATTCCACTAAATTTTGCAATTTTTTGAGATTCTTTTTTTCTTCTGGATTAGAATTCTTTGCAAAAGATCTAGTAAAAAGAGATATGCAGAAATGAAATAATGAGTGAATATTGTGGCTTAATGAATATTTTTGTGACAGGATGGTAAATGGACTTGTATATTATGGAGTTGCGCTTGCGTCGGGTTCCCTCAGTGGAGCTATGTACCAGGATTACATCCTTACATCATTGGTGGAATTTCCTGCCATTGTCTTCGCTATATACTTTTGCAACACGTGAGTTTGTATTAAAAAATTAACAGATTGCTGCATCTTTGGTAACTTTGTCAAAGAAATGAAGTGTATGAAAATGTTTTATAACTACAACCGCTGATTTGTGTTTTTCGAGGCAAAGGTTTAGCGCAAACGATGTATTAGAATTGTGAATTTGTTGCAGAAAAATTGTATGGAGGCTTTGTTTAGCAAGAAATAGCTTATTCGGATACTTGCTACAGATTTCTGTCCGCCTTACCATTGCGAACCCAACATCTAAGTATATTTTGCTTTGACCTTTTTTGTAGCATTGGCAGAAAAAAGACAATAATCATCTCATTAGCTACCGCCAGCATTTCCTGTCTTCTCATTCCAGCGATTCCTACTGACCAAGGCAAAGGTATGCACAACTAATTTCTTCTTCAATCTTTCAGAAGATTCTTCTACAAGTTACAGCCTTGTTTAGCACAGAAAACTTCATGAGGTTTCATAGGAAACAGTGAATGAAAAATTTGACTGAAAAATATACTAATCTCTTGATTGAGTTTTACTAACTACAATTTACTTTTCACAGACCTGCTAATTTTAGGTTGTCAATGCAACAGCTAAACTGTTTTGCGTCGCACGTTGAAAGGTGCTTTTTGATGATCTTTCGGGTTTATTTCCCAGCAAAACGAACCCTAACAAAAATACAGATAAAGATAAGAGTTTCGTATGGTTTTCCCGATCTAACTGAAATCTTTTCTTCGGTAAGGAACCATTCTACAAATGGCATGTCGCCGTAGCATTTGTTATGGTATTCTCATTTGTAAATGCGGTTCTTGCATACTCCATACTCCATCTGGCCCTACCGTCCTTGTTATTCAACTGAAAAAAATTAACAAATATATTTTTTGCAGGATTATCCATATTGCGGATCCTTGTTGGAATGATTGGAAAATGTGGCGTTGCTACATCTTTTAACAGTATATATACATGGTCAGTTGAAATTTACCCGACGGTCATCAGGTAGGATTCTCCGCTGATAATCAACTACATTTTCATCTTCTGTTTGTTAATTTTTTCCATATTTAGTTAACAAGGCTGACAATCTACATCAGTTGACATGTTTTCAACTCTCGATGCATCGATACAAGGAACTTCAAAGCAAGAACTCTTTGAAAAGTCAACCTGTTGAAATATTAATTATCATTATTACCGGTGAAAATCATAACTTAGCTACTTCATTAAGAGACAAAATGTTGAAATTTGACATTGTCACAAGTATCAAACTTCAAGCTACACTGATTTTAAAAAAAATGGATCGATAAACCTATTGTTCTCCTCCACCAGCACGAGGAAGTCATCAAGTCTCTCGCCATGGGTAGAAAAAGTACATACACATTGCTACGTTTTTAGTTCTGCATTAATGAATTCTTAGATAATGTAGGAGGCAGCAGGCCTAGGAAAATGAGTGAACAGTGGATTCTACCTCACATAAACTAAATACCACGGCAAAAATTATTAAAGAAGCTTAGAAATCCTGCAAGTTCGTGTTTCAATCGTTATTTTGAATTTGCTATGAAAAAGCAGGTCAAACTGAAATATACCTGATTGCTCTTTAGTGTCATCAACACGGCAAGGTCCTAACATGGACGCTACCGATATGGGATCAACGCTGGGCTTGAGAAGCTCGAACCAGTCTTTTTTGAGATCAGTGTCCGAGTTATCGCTCAACTTCCAAATTTTCACTTGTGGCTTTATATGAGTTTCATTCACGTTCATTCATAAGCCGACACTTTGGCCAGGTTTGCTAAAAGTCTAATAAAAATGTCAAGGAATCGTTAGTTTTTTAGAATTTACCCTCGATCAAATTAACGTGTAGCTTTGTGTTAAAAAGAAAAATGCTTTGCGCGAAATCTGTTGTTGTCTAACGAAACCATGATTCTCTTGGCGCAGATCACAAGGGATGGGACTTTTGCAAATAGCAAGTCGAATTGGATCCGCAGGAGCACCATGGATTGCTTCCGGACTGATGACGGTACACGCCTCGTTGCCTTTCATTGTCATGGGAGGAAGCAGTTTGATTGCCGTTGCTATGTTGTTTTACTTGCCAGAGACCAAAGGGGTGAAAACTGCCGAAACGTTCGGGGACAAAGAAAATGGAGGCAAAGAACTCACGGTTGATTTCCAAAAAGAGGCAGACGGTGTCAATGCCAAAGTTAACATGGCCTACAACAATGCTGATGAGGATTCGCGACTCTAAGCAACTTTGAAGTCTTAGTAGCTGCCAAAGCTTGCATTGGAATTCATAACTATTTTACAATCACAGAAGAATGTGCTTTATAAATGTTGCACATTTTATGATCTACTGTAAATTTAAATTCGCTGTCGAAGACTAATGAATAATATTTTTGATACAACATTGTTGCTTTGCTTCTTTTAACGTTCAAATAATCATTTTTATTTTATGAAGTTTTACGGGAATCTTCAACTGCGCTGGCACAAAAACAACAACCCATGAACCATAATCAGTTGTTTTTAAAACGATCTGCATCGCAGCACTTGCATTGCTTTAAATTTGCTACCTCTAAATAAAATCGCCTCTAGTTTTATACGAAATGGCTTTCTTGACGCCTCCCGTCGGGTTTTGCCGTTGTTAAGATTCAGAAAAACTTTGGCCAAAATAATTTATAGCAGGAAGAAGGTAGATTGGTTTTAATGTAGTTTTTGCTAAAAGTGGCCTTTAGCTTTTGCCCGCTCCCAAAAGATTACCCAAGCTTTATGTCTGACACTCTCAGAGTATAAAACATCAGAACATAGATCAAAACATTAAGCTAGGTAATATATATACCCAGTTGTTGATGGAAATAGGCCAATCAGAAACGCGAGCATATGCCGCTTGCCTATTGAAAATGTTACCAATGGAGTTCTAAGTTGAAAATGAACTTCTTCTGTTTACACAATAGCGGGTTTTAGATAGATTCCAAATCTGCTAGCTGGAACGACCATTGGGCTCTTTGTATCTATTATGTCACCAACCCGAAACATGTCGCCATTATAGTTTTTTGCACAATCTGGGTTTTCCAGTCAACGCTGCCCGATTGCAGAATAACAATTTTCAGTTGTAGTTTTGTTTTTGATGCTAAAATGAGTATGCTGTTTCATTCTATCCCCAAATCTTTGGATTGTGCGTCCTACGTAGCCAGAATCACATCACATCACAAGGAAGAATTCGAAAAACTGGGTGACGTGTTGACGGCACTCTCATGAAGCAAAAGTTATTTAAATATACCTCCATTATGTGGAATGTTTGGAGGTAGTCCAGTCGCTTAACTCCAATTTTTTTTCAGATTGTGACAGACTGGAACAAAGCACCAAACTTTTCATGGTGATACCTGGGGGCATGGAGAACATTTCCAGAAGGGGTGCCGCTTTCTATCGATTTCGATGGTTAGTTAGAGATAAACATATAATGACATCATACTCTTTGGAAAAATCCGACAAGGTTTTTGGAGCTCTTTCATGCCAGGTTGTATGTCAGATAATTTATGCTTTGTCAATGGGGAGAGTTTAGAAGACTGATTTCGGCGTTAGTATTTGACACATGTAGGAAAGAACCTATTTTTTTACTGAAGCCATAGCGTTAAGATAAGAAAGTGCTAGCAGAACCGTTTTGAAGATTTTTCTCCCAAACGCTCTCATTTTTGCTTCCGCTCGACTGTTGAATATGGAGCAGGGCAGGGTAAAGGTATTCCTGCATACAATAAAAAATTGACAAGAATCGCACAAAAAATGCTCAAGGAATGATTAATTATTGTCAAACTCTATAGCTACATTTCCACAAGCATTCCCAGCGGCCCAGGCATAAGGTCCGTTTGTGCTTTTAGCTTAGATAAAATGATTAAAACAAAGTATCTGTACCATTTTTACTTCGAAATAATTTTGTGGTAAGAAAGTAATCAGTTAAATAACATGACCTGCTTACATGCCTAAATGAACCCCTATCTCATTGGGATCATGAGTGTCCACAAGGACAGCATCAAAAAATGGGCTCCCTCGAATGGCATACATAATAAACTTTAGTAAACGTACTTGTTTTCTCGTCTCCTTTTCAGAACACTTAACCCTATCCAGACTAGGCTTTTTGAAACTTTCGGGAGACTAGGGGGGGGGGAAAGTGCCCCCCCCCTCCGTAATTTCTTTGTCCCTCTAGCTAGGACAATGAACTTTGTTTGGATGGTACTCTTATCTTTTCTCCACATTTTGGTATTATTGCTCAATTTTTAAGTCACGTGGTTTCACGATGACGTCATCATAATGGTGGCCGGGTGAAGCAAAAATTTAGAAAATTTTAGAAAATTTTCAAATATTCATTAATTCCAAAGCATCGGGCTAAGATATTAAAGTAAGCAAATTTGATGCATTTTCTAATAGAAACAAGAAAATTGACATAATTTTAATGTTACTTCTCAAAATTATTAACGCTCCTAACAAAAGAACTCAACATATTTGGCTATAGTTTTTTCTATATAACTAAATGATCGATACAACCAAATGTCATGTTTGAGTTCATTTTTAATGCCTTAGCAGACAAATTATTCTAAACTTGCAGTTTTATTAATATAATACCTATAAATATGTCAACAAATGTGTGCGCATGCGCAGCAGAAATATCAAAGAAAAGGATGTTGAATTTAAATTTTCTGGTCAGAATCACGAAAAGAGCACAAATTAATGCCTAGATACTAATTTTCATCAATATATCTACTTTTGTTGCGAATCCGTGGCAGATTGAACTATTTTTTACTTGACTAGTTTTGAAAACGCCCCTACACAACCCCCTGATTTATAATAAAAAACTCTCTTTTTATGAATCTCTCTTTTTAAAAACTCTCTTTTTGATCTCTTTATATGAACATGTGTCAGATAGGTTAAAACTAAAAGTCAGGAGGTCTGAGGGGTATTGCTTTGAAACTCCTGAAGTTATGAAAGAAAAACCAACTAAGGGGGCACTTTGTGCCCCCCCCCTAGTCTGGATAGGGTTAAATCCTCGTCGTCAGTTATTTTTTGAAGAGCCATTAGAGAGCGTTATAGAAGCCCCAATTCGCGAGAGTGCGCTCCAACTTGCTCACGATAACAGATTCAGACCAATCGCAAAGCTGAATTTTGCTCCAGTTGCTCAGTACCTTGATTGGCTATCCAGCACTTCCTGGAGCAAATTTTCATTAACTGAAGCGAAATCCAGTGGTCTGATTGGTTTATTTGACCATGACGTATTTCATGTGGAGCAAAATTGTGAACATCTCCTACACAGTCAACACATTAACAACTCAGACCACAAAATATAAAACGGTTCTCTAATGCACATATCTAGTCCACGGGGATCGCAGGGGGAGGGGCATTAGAAAGTACTAATTTATGATTTATGATAATCAGAGCTAAGTTTCAAGTCAAACAGGCACTATAATAAATTTAGGAAATTCTGACTGGAGCAGCTGCTCTGTTTGCTCCGGTCTAAATCCGCCACTGGAAGATGTCATTTAATCCTGATCCACACAAAGAAGCTGTGAAATTCACCATCCAGTGATTCGTTTTAATAACATACCAGTGACGAAAGTTGGAGAACATAAACATTTACGAACTATTTGAGCTCTATTTGCGACCCCATCTCGATTACGGGGATGTTATCTACTCTACCATTTTCCGGCTAAAGTGTGTGAATTTAGCGGCAATACAAATTTACCAAATTTTATGGTAAAGTCCGTTCAGTATTCTGCAGTCCTAGCCGTTACAGGGGCATGGAGGGGAACTTCACGAGAAAAGCTGTACGCTGAGCTTGGTTGGGAGTCATTAAGTTCCCGAAGATGGAGTAGACGCCCAACATTGTTTTATAAAATAATAAATAACATGTCCCCTGCATATACAGCAGATCCTATCCCCCAACTTCAACAGCCGCAATATTCCTTCGCAAACAGGATGTCGTTGGGCGAATTAGGGCAAGGACAGAGAGATTTCAATCTAGTTTCTATCCCAGTTGTCTGTCTGATTGGAATGATCAATGTCAAGAGGTCAGACTTGCACCAACCATTGCAATTATTAAGAAAAAAGCTATTGTCCATTATCCGCCCCCCTGCTAAGTCTGTCTTTGGGATTCATGTCCCAATCGGAGAATTCTATCTTACTCAACTTAGAGTTAGACCAAGCAAGTTGAATTTTCACAAATTCAAGTACAATTTTAGAGATACCATCAACCCAATGTGCCCTACGAAAGATGGTATTGAGAATACGGAACACTTTTAGTTGCTTTGCCCTTCCTTTCACATTACTGCGACCACCAAACGAGCTCTTAACACATCTTTTATTATATGATGACAAAGACTTCCCGAATGATCTTAACAAAAATATTCTTGAATTGACTCTAGGATTCGTCCATGAAACTGGTCGATTTCATTAGGACTGCAGCATAGTTTGTTATACCTCGCATAACCACCAAGTACGTCATTGTAGAGCATCTTGTTTGTAAAGTTCCGTCTAGTAGATGTAAATTTAATTCTTTTGTAGTATTCTTATGTTCTTTTTTGTATTTTTATGTGATCGGTGCGTCGGGGGAGGGGTGCTGCATGCTTGGGAAGTCGTGGTGGGGGCCACACAATCGCTAATAATTCCTCAAGTGAGGCCTGGGACATAATCTTTATAGCATTGTTTAATTCGAATCCAATTATCTGTGTCGGTTGGTGGCTTTTCAGGTGCGGCTTTGTGGGCGGGTGGTGCATATTTCCTGATACACCTGGTAGTTTTTATTCTTTCTATGTCAATCTTTCACGGGGCTGTCATAGTCTATTGCTCCCCGTGGTATCAACGTCCTTGTAGTGTTTGTTGAGTAATTAGTAGGTAGCGTAATAGGTAACTTGTATTGTAAATTTTTAGTGGAATATGAAAAAAACTATACATTAGTGGAAAAACAAAACAGCGCGACAGAGCAAGGCAAGGTTGCTTGCAAGGACTGTTCAATGTGCGCTATCGAAATTTAGACAGCACGAGCGGGCCTAAGACAATCCTTGCTTGTCTTGCAAGGTTTTATGCACATTCTCAGTCGCTGATTTCAAAGACACTGTTCATTTGGCTAGGATTATCCCTTCCCCATAAAAAAACCGTCCTTGCCACTGAAATCCTTCCTGCCGCTATATGCTGGAAGAAAAACTTTGTCAGCTAGGAATAAGCGAATAAGTGTTTGTATGATTTCGCTAGTGATCTAGTTCGGTTGCAACCGAAGTCTAGAATGTGATATTGTGTGTCCTGTAAATTTAAATAAAGGCTTTTCCATTATCTGTACGCTTGACAATAATGACCATAATCCAACTTGAGTAACTGGTCTTTTCAAGAAACAAGCATTCGTATTTTTTATTCACAAAAAAAAGAGAATGGGGGAACAAGCAGATCCCCATCAACTTTTGCCCTAGTTCGAGGACATCAAATTCCAGACTCCAGCAAATTTATGCAGTTTTTCAGGAAGTAATGTGCCTTACTCCTAAGTTGAAAATTGACTTTCCAGGAAGTGAGACTAATTTAGAAGTAAAGAAAGCACTACAGATTGATGGATTAATACTGTAATTCCTTTGCTGCAAAAAGAAATGCTCAGGAAAAGGATTACATCAAATGGTGAGAATATCTTGCACCTATTTCCAGTCTATCCGACAACCAACTTGCAATATCTGCCCTCCTGCCACACCTATTTTCTTTTAGCAGACATCGTTACCGACCGGGGATGCAAATTTTACCGATATGGAGCGCCCATGACTAATTTTGGTTGCACTGGTTTTTGGCAGTTTCGAATTCAGAGAATCAATTCCCCGATATTTTTTCATCAAATATAAAGAATTGGCGTGGCCTAATATTTTAAGACATTTAAACTAGAGCATCTTTCATGTTTCATTAACTTGCAATGTTCTAAATTGAAAAAATCTACATTCAGAAGTAGGTTCAACGGCACCAATGCTTGAAAATTAGCGTGCAAAGTTATGTGCTAACCCCCGGTTTTGAGAAGTTTTGAATGTACCGAAATAAAACAAAAAGTAGTTTTACATATGGATCATGTAAAGTAATAAATCAGTCATCTAAATCAGTCATCTAAGTCATACGATTTTTATCTCCAGCTGACCCCCTGAAATCGAAAAAAACGGCACTCCTTCTGGCAATGCTCTCCATGCCCCCAGGTATCACGAAAATAAGTCTGGTGCTTTGTTCCAGTCTGTCATGATTTTCAAGTTTTGCATTTTGCATGCAAAAGTAAAGCGAATCCAAAAATAACTGGATTGGGGCATGCGCATTTGAAAGGAACTTGAAACTACTCGCGTGAAACCACTCTGGGGTCTAGTGTTTCGCCGATTTGCAGAAACGCTGAAACTGTTCGCGTGTCACTTTTAGCTCTATCAAATGCCTTCAAGCGACTGAACTAAGAGAAATGGCATCTCAAGGGAAAATGCAAGAGCTTGATGTGGACAGTATACTTCCACTTGTTGGAGAATTTTCTCGCTTTCAATATGTTCTAGAAGCCTTGCTATGCATTTCCATTATACCCCAAGCACTTCAAGAATTCATGATGTATTTTGCTGCGCACAACTCGCCATGGCGTTGCACATACAATAGCACGGTTTGCACTTTTCCGCAGAATATGACATTCAGCTTGGGTGATTCACTGTATGAAGAAAGATGCAAATTGGAGAGAAAAGAATGGGAGTTTGTCTATTCAAAAGATTACTCAATCATGACTCAGGTTTGTAGCTGTTTTATCTATTATTCTTTACAATTAAATTAATTCTTAACTATCAGTGTCACTGCTAATGGTGAACAGAGCGGATCCAATAAATTGCAACACTCAACCATGTCACCATCGTACAGGTTGGGGTTTCCTTGCATTCATCTTCCGTAAAAATATTTTCCATGCTATTAGAGAGAAATTGCTAGTTAGAGCTTAGTCAGGGAAGCACGAGGTCTTTGTTACGATCCACTCAATCTTCTTAAATAATCTTCTCAATCTTCTTCATTTTGTAAAACTCTTAAATAATACAAGTTCAAGCTGGAGCTCCAAAGCCGCAGGCAGAACGGCGTTGAAATTGGCATGCAACTAAGGATGGGTATTAATAAAGTCCACTAGATGCCATGGCAACTGCGTGATAAAGAGTAATGCCCACGCACGAGTGATGCAAAATTTTCTTTTGAAAGCATACTTACGGAACATACAAAACATTGATTTTGTACATGTACTCTGAAACGATCCTCGGCTCGAACGGAACGGATCAGAACAACACGATCTGATTCGATCCTCAGATCGTTTTCCATCGTTATCGGATTAAGATTATTAGAGTGATTTTGTCTTTTATATAAATTGTCTTCTTGCCGATTTCAAGCGTCAATGAAATTAAGATATAAATTGGCAACTCTGCCTCGGGCCATCAGTAACAGGTGACACAATATCAATGCTTATGTTCCTCTTAAGGTTCACTTTATGGTTACGGTATACGTTTCTGACACAGTCTTCTCTTTCTAAAAGATAAACTATTAACGGAATCGGATTAAACTATATATGATTCGATGCACAAGAGTTTGGTGATTCTAACCATATCAAAATAATTGGCAAATATCGTAAAATGATACTTTCTAGGCAAATTTATTGCTTAAAATAATGTACAAACCTCAAAAGGTTTTCTGTTTCCATGCGTTGGAGGTAACAAAATCTGACTTATATCAGCAGAAAGCGCAGATCCTTAAAGGACTTATGCCACCTATTTTGGCGCCAAATTTTTTCCTCTTGTAACTTGTAAATAAAAGCCATGTGAACATGATTCCAGAATATTGCCACGATCTGGGGTTTGTAAGAGCCCCAAAACGGCTATTTAACTTTTGGCGGGAAATGTATCACGTGATGCTGGACGTAGAAATTGACAACCTCGGCATTGAAAGCATTTTGCTTAATGGCCAGCATTGCCCCTGAGAGGACAAATTTTTGGATGATTTTCATGGTGTGATTTTGGGCGTAGATTTTGAATCTGGATGTTGATCGGGCGTGCGTGTAGGTGTTCCCAAGATATGGGGGTTCGGAGGAGAAATTTCATGTCACTGTGTAAATAATTTTTGCAACGAAAATACAAGATAGCAATGTCTGAAGCAGTGCATTTGCAAGCATAACCAATGTATTTATATGGAAAGCCAAAAAATTTGTATTCCTGATTTTTTGGGGGGCACGGAGATATTTTGTGGCATCTGACCGTTGGCTTACTGGCGAAGAAGCTCTCGGGAATCTTTTATTTAGGAACTGTTTTATCAAAACGGATCGACTGTATTACTAGCCCATAAGACGATAAAAACGAAGCAAAAAACAAAAAATTGCTCCAGCAACCTTCCTACCCTAGCCAAATTTCAATCGAAAATAGGTGAAGGACAGAGAGTTGAAAACCGCAAATAATTCATAAATCAAACCTTTTTCTCCATTTAACGAGTAAAAAAACTCCCCACTCAGTATTTTCATTCCCTTTGCTCGAGCGTCATCCCGTTTCCCCAACCTCTACGTCCATTTCCTTCCTTTGATGAATTCGTTGTTGCATTAGTCTATTTGCTGCGTTTTCCGTTTTTTAAACATTATTCAAAACTAAAATGTACGACATCCCAAAACAACGTGTAGTGATAAGATCTATTTCTGAATTACTCATTTTTGCAAAATAAATCAACTTTTTGCGCGCGAGTAGCAAAAAGCCTATGCATTTCAAGTGTAGGCCTGTCTCCGCTTGTCAACTTTACGTCAAGCGGTCACGTGATACTTCGTAAATTTGCGTCTACGGCCCCCTCCAAATGAAATTTTTGTCGGAAAACTTTGAAATGCTCAATTTTGACCTATTTTCTACCGAATTCGTCAGTAAAAAATTAAGGGAAAAATAGGTGGCATGAATCCTTTAACTACCACTGAGAGTCTCAGATTTGTCAAATTCCTCCTTCTTTTGAAAATATTCTAGTGACTTGGACAGAAAAGGAATTTTTTTAAACAAAAAAGGGACTTGTCTTGAAACTAATGATCTCTACGCGCTATGATAACACCTGGTCCATGCTTTCGTTGTTAAGCAACCTGATAAAGTACTTTCTTTGGATGGTGTACATTAAGAAAAAATCGATGTTGGTGGTATATGACACTTGACCTGCCAACGAATGCTAAACACATCTTTAGGAAACAATTCAATTTAGGACCAGTCCTCAAAGCTGCATAACAAAGCTGCCATCTAGGTTTTTCTAATCTCAAAGTTGCTTATGAGTTGCTTAGTGTCTTAGTGTGCAAAAGGAAAAGTACAAGCTCTCCCGAGTGGAACTTGCACCAAATTTGGTCTCCTTCACACAAAATTTAGATAATTTAGTGAGACAGAGGGAAAGGGATCCAACAAAAATTTCTAACATCCACAAAAATTTTTTGTACCATAGACAAAACAAATTTAAAAGAAACAATAAACAATATAACAGCAAAACTGCGACTTTTTATTTTTATGAAAGCAAGGCTAGAAATTAACACGAAATTTTCCTTTGCTTTGTTTTTATGTAGCTAGCTACCTTATCTCTCAGTCCTCTATTAGCTCTCATTTGTATCAAGCCCTGGTTGCCAATTACTTGATACTTGATCCAAAAAAAGTTTTTGTGGCCATGCAAGGAACTTGGAACAATATTCTGGTTGATGTAAAAAGATCGTCATCTGCTTTCAGTTTTCGTCAAAAGCTTCGAGCCATTTTATTTATGAAAAACGATCAAAGTTGGTTATAAAGTGATAAAAATGGTCCTGCTCACTCGATTAATGATTGAATAAGATTTAAAAAAAAATTCTAAAAGGGGGTGTTCTCTCATCAATTAGCTTGATATTGAGAGAGATCCTCCGCAAAAAATCCCCCTGCATGCAACATCTTGAGTAATTGTTTTTTATTGTATCTTCTTATAAGTATGTCTTTGTAATTCTGAGTCATTGTATGTTTGTAGATAGTGTTTATGTAAGATATTGTGTGTATAATATTTTTGAAATATATGAACCGAACTGAATTAATTTAGTCCTTCAAACGTCGGCCGTTTATTTTTTTGGGTTTTTTGGGTTTTTTGTTTAAAAATAACTTTAGAATTTGTCAAGAATTCTTATATCAATCCAGCTAGTTACCCTTTGTCTGGCCAAGAAACCCATAAGACCTTAATAAGGTTGTTGGCAAAATCAGAATAGGTAGGAATCGGTGAAAACGAATACATAACAATTTCGTATCCTTTCTACCTGTTGCGTATGCGCGCGCGATGCCTAAGATCCGCTGCGTCCTAACGCTAGACCTAGAGAGCACACGAGACAAGACGACATGTCTTCACTCCGACCCTGATCTCATCTAATCAATCAACTCTAATCCGAGGCTAGTATAAAATGGCTTATGCCTAATACACTACATTCTCCCTTTTCTTGAATTTGTCCTCTAGGGTTTCGATATGAGTTTGTAAACGTAACCAAACAAACAATTAATATAAACGATGTTCTTCAGCTTTAGTCCTTCAGCTTAGATGATTGTTCTTCATTGTCAGCAAAAGTATATATTATATCCATTCATCAACAAAACAAATAATCTTCAAGGTTCCAGCGTCTTGATTATAATGAACATAGCTACACTTACGTTCAAAAAGTATTGGGATAAATTCAAAAAACGAATTATGGCGTTGCATTGGATTCGGCTCTGCAATGGAAACTTCTACAGCTTGGGGCAGTCTTTCTTCAAATAATCTAGGCCTACGTATCCCCAAAATGGAATTAAAAGTTACAAAAATACTTCAACTTTTGAAGCATAACCATAAAAACATAGGATTCTTTCGATTTTCCTGATTATAACAGCAAAATATGCAGAAGGGTTGTATGGCATGGCAATGGCATACAACCCTAAATACAAAAAAAGCGTCTACAATTGAAAGTATTCCTCCGCGGATACTGAAAGAAAACGAAGACATTTTTGCACCATTACTGACGACAATTTTCAATAATTCATTGCTCCAGAAAACGTTTCCTGAAGATCTTAAATTAGGAGACATAACTCCACTATTCAAAAGTGACAAAACTACAGAAAAACGAAACTATCGACCTATCACCGTTCTATCCGCCTTATCAAAGGTCTTTGAACGGCTTCTATATGCTCAGATGGTCGACTTCGCGGATACGTTCCTAGTTCCCTACTTATGTGGTTTTCGGAAAGGTTTCAACACACAGCATGCGCTGTTGAGATTAATGGATATCTGCAAGAATTCATATATTGTGCCTACCTCACCTAATGTTTCAAATATATCTTGCACTTCATCTCCTATAAAATGCAAAAGTGCTGCCCTCTTTTGGCTATCATTTTGAATACCTGTTGCATTCAGAAAATAAAAGAATGATTTCTTCCATAGCAGTGGCCTGTAGTGTTTTTATGAGTTAAAAACTATGTGCCTGCAATTTTCATCTTCATATAAATTAGAAACTTTATGAGTCTATTGTCTTATAATATAGACCACTTTAAATATATAATTCTTGAATTTGTCCGTCTATCGTTTAGAACCTAAAATAGCATGAGTAGAAAAGTGCGAATTTTTTATATGTAGCTTGTCAAATTGAATTCGCAGAAAATAAATTTGATATGAATCAAATTTCTTTCTCCTCGGTAACGCCAAATTAATTATCTTTGTCATGAAAATGTACCCCGAAGGTATTTTATAGGCCTAAATATACGGGGAGTGGCGCATTGTGCTGGAGAATAATTACAAGCAACGAGTATAGTTTTGAAATAGTTGAAAAATATCAATGATTATATAAAATCAAAACTTGGTTACTATATTTGAACTCTGTTATTAATAACAAAGCACTGAATTATGCCTTATTTCAGCTTTTTCTATAGTTGGGCTTAGATAATTCATAGCAGTTGCTGTAAACCAAGAAAGAAAAAGTAACTAAATTACATCTTTGTACAGCTGTGTTAAGAAATTTATGCATTGAGTGGCTAAACATTGTTGCTGGATCCGTTTTAAAACAGATCATTCATTATTTTCTGGAATTTCGACGAGACAGAAAACACCACAGCAAGCACCGCGACTGTAAATGTTTGGAATTTGCGAATGACGGCTTATTTTTCAAATATCAATTCAAAAATTTAAGTACAATATAAGGCCACTCACCAAATTTCACAAATTACGAAATCAATCCTTGCTTTTGCCAAATTTATAAGGGCTCAGTATGGAGCAAGTTCCTTTTTGCCACTATTCAAAATGGCCGAAGTAAACAAATTTGCCTCACAGCGTACCTGTGAGCTAGACATCTAGCGCTTTCGGCACTTCTATATCATTAAATCTAATCAATCAACTCTAATCAAAGGCTAGTATAAAATGAATTATGCCTCAGGGGCGGATCTAAAGAAAAATTTGACTGCCGCAAAAGGGTGTGGTCCAAAAGTAAATGGCAAAAAGGGGCGTGGTCAAAACCCATTTGCGCATGCGCAATGTAAAGTGATTAAATAGTGGCATTGCTTGCATGTAAATATTTTATGTTATTCAAGGAAACTATAAAACAACATTCTCTTAAGTAATTCTTCACTGCCAATTATGAATCTTCACTGCCTACTTCTTTTACAGTTACAAAGGTTAGCATGGTTAATAATAGGGTATGGTTGATATCAAATCTGCATTGATTCTATATCTTGCTACTGCACAGGAAACGTCTGTCAAAAAAATTCACCAGCTTGTCTCTGGATGAATTTACACCAATTCTTAGATAAAAAATGTCCAAAGGCAGGCAAATTGCATAATATTAAGCTTTAGAATATTGAAACCATGGGTAACTTTTAAGCCAAGAGAATGAAAAATTTTCTTTTTTCCTAAATTTGGAAGGAACTCTAAAATTTGCATCTGGTTCCCAGGCAATATTAAAGAGGTCCTACTACTGAGCTGCTCCAACAAGTTCAACTTGTCCAAAAAGCCACTATCAGAATAATTTGAAACAGCAATTTCAATTCATTTTCTGTTTTGAGATTTTATGGTTCAGTTTATGAAAGGAAACAGAACTCTCTTTAGGAGTATGAAGGTCTAAGTGAGTAGGCTTGAATTTGGCTTCTTCTCATCCTAAAGCTACAACAGTTAGACTTTGCATTTGCACTTGAATCTTAAAAACTAGTCTTTGCACTACTGGTGAAACATTGTCACCATCAAAAACTGAACAAAGATGTCAGAAGTCTATATAAAATTCTATCAAAATAGAATTTTATATAGACTTCTGATATCTTTTTTCAGTCATGCCAATAACCTCTAGATACATGGTGTTTTGATCAAGCTTTGCAGACAGGGTGTAAATTATTTGATGTTGCTGTGTTAAGCACTCAAATGTTTGACAGTTTAAAAGCATATCAATAAGCCTGTGGGTCTGGTCTGTTGCCAGCAAAGAAAGAAAATTGCGAAAGAATGCACTGAAGGTTACATACAGATAAAGCTCTGCTATAAAATGCCCTAAGTAATTGATATTTTTTCGTACTAAGTTAATTCCATAGATAAAGATTATACAGACAGTTAACATTACAGATTATACCAACAGATGACATTGCAGATTGACAGATAATAGATACAGACATCAAAGAATAAAGTATTTTTCGAATATTTATTTGGGAGTCATTCAGATACACAAATTCTATTTCCCTTAAGTTTACTTGTCTTTTTAAAGGCATTTTCTCCAAAATATCTCAAAAAGCAACCAAGGGCATCCTGAGAGGACAAGATAAGCTAATTTCATAACCATAAATAGCAATTCAATAATCCTTACTAAAATAACACAGATTTGCCAATCAGGTGATAGCTATGTCAAGTTATCAGAAATATAAGCACTGGTTAAAATTTACTTCTGAACACATAAACATTCATCAGACTTTAATGTTATGTTTTTAGTTTCTAAGTCTAATAGCAACAGCTTTCCCAAATTGAAAGATCTCTGATACATTTGTGTCTGATGTGTCATAACATAACATAACATAACATAACATAACATAACATAACATAACATAACATAACATAACATAACATAACATAACATAAATAACATAAATAACATAACATAACATAACATAACATAACATAACATAACATAACATAACATAACATAACATAACATAACATAACATAACATAACATAACATATAACAAAACATAACATAACATAACAAACATAACATAACATAACATAACATAACATAACAAAACAAACATAACATAACATAACATAACATAACATAACATAACATAACATAACATAACATAACATAACATAACATAACATAACATAACATAACATAACATAACATAAATAACATAATATAACATAACATAACATAACATAACATAACATAAATAACATAACATAACATAATATAACATAACATAACATAACATAACATAACATAACATAACATAACATAACATAACATAACATAACA